CGGGATCCCTGGGGGCTAGTCTGTGGGGGACGGTCCTGAGGATGGGGGTGCAGGGTCAGTCTTCCGGTGCTGAATTGCGGGGGGTTGACGTGGTACCCCCTGCAGGTCCCACCTGATGACGAAGAGGAGAAGCAGCCAGAGAAGAAAATAATAAAGGATGACAAGCCAAAAGGAAAACAGGTCAGTCCCCTAATGCCTCCACATTGGGTTGGCCCGTTGGTCTTAGCCGGGATGGCCAGGGCTGCAGATTCTGTCGCCAGTTCTGGGAGGGGAGTGGGGTCTAGTGGTTAGAGCTGGGGATGGGGGAGAGACTGGAAACCAGGCCTCCTGGATCTATTGCTAGCTCTGGGAGGGGAGTACAGTATAGTGGTTAGAGTGGGAGACTGGGAACCTGGCCTCCTGGTTCCATTGCCAGCTCTGGGAGAGGAGCGGGGTCTAGTGGTTAGAGTGGGGACTGGGAACCAGATCTCCTGGTTCTGTCCCTAGCTCTGGAAGGGGAGTGGGGTCTAGTGGTTAGTGCGAGGACTGGGAACCAGATCTCCTGGTTTTCTCTAGCTCTGGAAGAGGAGTGGGGTCTAATGGTTAGAGCGGGGTGTGGGTCTGGGAGTCTCAAGTGGCAGAATAGCTTAGCCAAGCAGGTGCATGATGAGAGGTTTTTCCGGCTCCGCTGGGCAGGGGTCTGCCTGGAGACAGCGGGGCGGGGCGTCTGGGCTGGGTCAGGTGGAGTCAGAGACGCCGCGTCTCACCGGGGAAGGATGTGCTGTGTGCTCTCGGCAGGAGGAGGAGGACGATAAAAAGAAGAAGAGCAGGAAAAACGAGAAGAACAAAGGAAGGCAGCAGGTGCGAAGCCGGCTTTTCCCAGTGTCAGCGGGCTGGGCACGTGGAAACCAGGGCCCCCGCGCTGCACGAGGGGGCGCTGTGGTGCAGGGAGCAGGGCGGCGGGGCGCCAGTAGGGGGCGCTGTCCCCACGCAGGCAGTGCCAGCCCCGGTGCCGCACGAGGGGGCGCTCTGCTGCCTGGTGTGTGTCTGAGGTTAGGAACTCGGGCTACTGAGTTCCCCCAACCCTGCCGTCTCTGAAAGCTCTGGCTTCTCCCCCGGCTCCCAGGGAGGAGGCGCAGGGTTTGCTGTTCTGGCCCAGAGCGAGGAAGAGGAGGAGAGCGAAGAGGAACCTAAATTGAAACCCAAAGGCAAAGCGAGCAAGGTGAGCCAGAGGAGTGCCAGGGGGTGGGGTCTAGTGGTTAGAATGGGGAGGGGTGGGGCTGGGAGCCAGGACTCCTGGGTTCTGCCCCCAGCTCTGGGAGGGAAACAGGGTCTAATGAGTTAGAAGAGATGGGGCTGGGGGGTAGGACTCCTGGGGTCTAGCGGTTAGAGCAGGCAGGGCTGGGAATCTGGACTTCTGGCTCCCACCCTCCGCTCTGGGAGGGGAGTGTGGCCTAGCGGTTAGAGCAGGCAGGGCTGGGAATCTGGACTTCTGGGTTCCATCCGCCGCTCTGGGAGGGGAGTGGGGTCTAGTGATTAGAGCGAGGACTGGGAACCAGATCTCCTGGTTCTGTCCCTAGCTCTGGGAGGGGAGTGGGGTCTAGTGATTAGAGCGAGGACTGGGAACCAGATCTCCTGGTTCTGTCCCTAGCTCTGGGAGGGGAGTGGGGTCTAGTGATTAGAGCGAGGACTGGGAACCAGATCTCCTGGTTCTGTCCCTAGCTCTGGGAGGGGAGTGGGGTCTAGTGATTAGAGCGAGGACTGGGAACCAGATCTCCTGGTTCTGTCCCTAGCTCTGGGAGGGGAGTGGGGTCTAGTGATTAGAGCGAGGACTGGGAACCAGATCTCCTGGTTCTGTCCCTAGCTCTGGGAGGGGAGTGGGGTCTAGTGATTAGAGCGAGGACTGGGAACCAGATCTCCTGGTTCTGTCCCTAGCTCTGGGAGGGGAGTGGGGTCTAGTGATTAGAGCGAGGACTGGGAACCAGATCTCCTGGTTCTGTCCCTAGCTCTGGGAGGGGAGTGGGGTCTAGTGATTAGAGCGAGGACTGGGAACCAGATCTCCTGGTTCTGTCCCTAGCTCTGGGAGGGGAGTGGGGTCTAGTGATTAGAGCGAGGACTGGGAACCAGATCTCCTGGTTCTGTCCCTAGCTCTGGGAGGGGAGTGGGGTCTAGTGATTAGAGCGAGGACTGGGAACCAGATCTCCTGGTTCTGTCCCTAGCTCTGGGAGGGGAGTGGGGTCTAGTGATTAGAGCGAGGACTGGGAACCAGATCTCCTGGTTCTGTCCCTAGCTCTGGGAGGGGAGTGGGGTCTAGTGATTAGAGCGAGGACTGGGAACCAGATCTCCTGGTTCTGTCCCTAGCTCTGGGAGGGGAGTGGGGTCTAGTGATTAGAGCGAGGACTGGGAACCAGATCTCCTGGTTCTGTCCCTAGCTCTGGGAGGGGAGTGGGGTCTAGTGATTAGAGCGAGGACTGGGAACCAGATCTCCTGGTTCTGTCCCTAGCTCTGGGAGGGGAGTGGGGTCTAGTGATTAGAGCGAGGACTGGGAACCAGATCTCCTGGTTCTGTCCCTAGCTCTGGGAGGGGAGTGGGGTCTAGTGATTAGAGCGAGGACTGGGAACCAGATCTCCTGGTTCTGTCCCTAGCTCTGGGAGGGGAGTGGGGTCTAGTGATTAGAGCGAGGACTGGGAACCAGATCTCCTGGTTCTGTCCCTAGCTCTGGGAGGGGAGTGGGGTCTAGTGATTAGAGCGAGGACTGGGAACCAGATCTCCTGGTTCTGTCCCTAGCTCTGGGAGGGGAGTGGGGTCTAGTGATTAGAGCGAGGACTGGGAACCAGATCTCCTGGTTCTGTCCCTAGCTCTGGGAGGGGAGTGGGGTCTAGTGATTAGAGCGAGGACTGGGAACCAGATCTCCTGGTTCTGTCCCTAGCTCTGGGAGGGGAGTGGGGTCTAGTGATTAGAGCGAGGACTGGGAACCAGATCTCCTGGTTCTGTCCCTAGCTCTGGGAGGGGAGTGGGGTCTAGTGATTAGAGCGAGGACTGGGAACCAGATCTCCTGGTTCTGTCCCTAGCTCTGGGAGGGGAGTGGGGTCTAGTGATTAGAGCGAGGACTGGGAACCAGATCTCCTGGTTCTGTCCCTAGCTCTGGGAGGGGAGTGGGGTCTAGTGATTAGAGCGAGGACTGGGAACCAGATCTCCTGGTTCTGTCCCTAGCTCTGGGAGGGGAGTGGGGTCTAGTGATTAGAGCGAGGACTGGGAACCAGATCTCCTGGTTCTGTCCCTAGCTCTGGGAGGGGAGTGGGGTCTAGTGATTAGAGCGAGGACTGGGAACCAGATCTCCTGGTTCTGTCCCTAGCTCTGGGAGGGGAGTGGGGTCTAGTGATTAGAGCGAGGACTGGGAACCAGATCTCCTGGTTCTGTCCCTAGCTCTGGGAGGGGAGTGGGGTCTAGTGATTAGAGCGAGGACTGGGAACCAGATCTCCTGGTTCTGTCCCTAGCTCTGGGAGGGGAGTGGGGTCTAGTGATTAGAGCGAGGACTGGGAACCAGATCTCCTGGTTCTGTCCCTAGCTCTGGGAGGGGAGTGGGGTCTAGTGATTAGAGCGAGGACTGGGAACCAGATCTCCTGGTTCTGTCCCTAGCTCTGGGAGGGGAGTGGGGTCTAGTGATTAGAGCGAGGACTGGGAACCAGATCTCCTGGTTCTGTCCCTAGCTCTGGGAGGGGAGTGGGGTCTAGTGATTAGAGCGAGGACTGGGAACCAGATCTCCTGGTTCTGTCCCTAGCTCTGGGAGGGGAGTGGGGTCTAGTGATTAGAGCGAGGACTGGGAACCAGATCTCCTGGTTCTGTCCCTAGCTCTGGGAGGGGAGTGGGGTCTAGTGATTAGAGCGAGGACTGGGAACCAGATCTCCTGGTTCTGTCCCTAGCTCTGGGAGGGGAGTGGGGTCTAGTGATTAGAGCGAGGACTGGGAACCAGATCTCCTGGTTCTGTCCCTAGCTCTGGGAGGGGAGTGGGGTCTAGTGATTAGAGCGAGGACTGGGAACCAGATCTCCTGGTTCTGTCCCTAGCTCTGGGAGGGGAGTGGGGTCTAGTGATTAGAGCGAGGACTGGGAACCAGATCTCCTGGTTCTGTCCCTAGCTCTGGGAGGGGAGTGGGGTCTAGTGATTAGAGCGAGGACTGGGAACCAGATCTCCTGGTTCTGTCCCTAGCTCTGGGAGGGGAGTGGGGTCTAGTGATTAGAGCGAGGACTGGGAACCAGATCTCCTGGTTCTGTCCCTAGCTCTGGGAGGGGAGTGGGGTCTAGTGATTAGAGCGAGGACTGGGAACCAGATCTCCTGGTTCTGTCCCTAGCTCTGGGAGGGGAGTGGGGTCTAGTGATTAGAGCGAGGACTGGGAACCAGATCTCCTGGTTCTGTCCCTAGCTCTGGGAGGGGAGTGGGGTCTAGTGGTTAGAATGGGGAGGGGTGGGGCTGGGAGCCAGGACTCCTGGGTTCTGCCCCCAGCTCTGGGAGGGAAACAGGGTCTAATGAGTTAGAAGAGATGGGGCTGGGGGGTAGGACTCCTGGGTTCTGTCCCTGGTTCCAGGCGGGGAGGCGACATCTAGCGGGTTAGAGCAGGGAGAACTGGGAATCTGGACTTCTGGGTTCCATAGACGTGCTCTTGTGGAAGACTTTTTGCACAAAAACGCTTCCGCAAAACAGTTCTTGCGCAAGAAGCTGCCAATGTAGACACAGCCCCTGAGTGACAAACCCGAGGGCCCCAGGAACCCATCTATCTGCACAAGCCTGGCAGCCATGAGCAGTCTCTGTGGGCCCTTGGCAGGGTTGGCTAGGGAGAGAGGCTTGGGATAGGAGTGACTCACCAGGGGAACAGCACAGGACTGCGGGGGTGTGAGAGGAGAGTGAGGTGTGTGTTGGGTAGGTCAGGCCTTCTGGGTTCCATCCCCAGCTGTGGGAGGGGAGTGTGGCCTAGTGGTTAGAGCAGGTGTGTGTTGGGTAGGTCAGGCCTTCTGGGTTCCATCCCCAGCTGTGGGAGGGGAGTGTGGCCTAGTGGTTAGAGCAGGTGTGTGTTGGGTAGGTCAGGCCTTCTGGGTTCCATCCCCAGCTGTGGGAGGGGAGTGTGGCCTAGTGGTTAGTGCAGGTGAGGGCAGGATGGTTCCTGCGATGTGGCACGGTACAAAAGGGAGCCCGGGATACCAGGGAGGAAGGAGGCTACTACATCCGCCGCGTTTCCTAAACGCCTTCCCGCGTCTTCCTCCATCTCCTTCCAGGCTGGGAATAAACAAGCGGAGTCTGGTCCAGAGAGGAAAAAAACAAAAGGAAAAAAGAATCAACCAACCCAGGTGAGGGCTTGTGTGTGGGGGTGGGGTGGGGGTGTTTGTCCCTACTAGCAGTGGCCACTAGGGGGCGCCGTGCGGCAGGGAGCGCGTTTCCTAAACGCCTTCCCGCGTCTTCCTCCATCTCCTTCCAGGCTGGGAATAAACAAGCGGAGTCTGGTCCAGAGAGGAAAAAAACAAAAGGAAAAAAGAATCAACCAACCCAGGTGAGGGCTTGTGTGTGGGGGTGGGGTGGGGGTGTTTGTCCCTACTAGCAGTGGCCACTAGGGGGCGCCGTGCGGCAGGGAGCAAGGTTGGGGCTCAGGAGAGGGGTACTCTCCCGTCACAGCCAGGGCTGGCCCCGGGGGGCGCCCTGCTGCGTGAAGTGTCTCCATGCAATAGTGCTGCGTGGCCAGTACCCAGCCGCCCCACCCCAGAACTGGCTGCATTTTGGCGAACCTCCCTGCGGTTGGATGAGCTGGGCCTCTGCTCTGCTGCAGAACAAATTTGCTGCCCTGGAGTCGGAGGAGGAGCTGGAGGAAGACGAGGAGGAGCCGGAGAAGCCCAAGGACAAGTCCAAACGAGGCAGCGAGCCGGGGAGGCGTTGCCCTCTTCTAACCGGCCTGCATGGAGTGGGCGGGCTCAGCGGGGAGGGTTTCTCGGATCATTTCCCAGCTAGCCCCCGTCCCGCATGGGCACCCTTAGCGGGGGGGGGGAGCCACGGAGCTGTGCTCCCCTCTACGTCTGCAGGGACCCCCCCCTTCCAGGGGGCAGAGCTGAATCATGGCGGAAGAGGATGAAGCTCCCGGAAGTCGGGACTCCTGGGTTTTGTTCCTGGCTCTTGGAGGGCAGTGGTGTCTAATGGTCGGATGCTGAAACTCCTGGGTTCTTTTCCCCGCTCTGGGCGGGGAGTAGGGTCTAGTGGTTGCAGGGCGGGGGGGTGTCCCTGGCTCTGGGAAGGGAAGGTCCTGTCTATAACCAGCCTCATGCGGTCGGCGCAGCAGTCGGAAGAGGATGAGGAGGACGAGGGGGAGAGGAAGGAGGACGACCCCTACGCTCACCTCAGCAAGAAGGAGAAGAAAAAACTCAAGAAGCAGGAGAGAT